TGATAAAAAATGTCGTAGAAGGATCTTTTCTTATGAAGTAAGCATGAAAGATGTTTTTCTAGCCCAACGTCAAGTGAAGATTATCTTGATTCATTTGATGTGAATTCACCTCCAATATCGAATCTAATTGCATTAACTTCATGCCCACTTTATTTTTCAGTTAAAGTCATAAATTTTTTGAAAACAACAAACACCTCTAAATTTTCGTTTAGAAAATAAACTCACATTTTTCAGCTAAAATTATCAATAAAGAGAAGAAAATACTGGTTCTTACCAAACAATGATGAGTCTATGGGCCCGCAAACATCAGGGTGAACAAGCTGAAATAGTTTAGTTGCCCTTGAAATGGCTTCTTTGGGAAAGTTTTTTCTAGCTTGCTTTCCAATAGGGGTGCAACTTGGATGGGTCAACCCGAATTCAACCCGAATCCAACCCAGAAAAAATAAGGCTTGGATTAAGCTTTTTAATACTTGGTTTGAGCCTGGTGAAAAAAACACTAACTTGAATTGATTTCGGACAGTACTCGGGTTGAGGCATTAGGTTACCAAGTTCAACTCGAATTCTAAATCGAGCTCAACTCAAATTTCAAATCGGGTTCAACGTGAATATATAAATCGAGCTAAACCAGAATTTTAAATCAGGCCCAACCCAAACATATTTAAAATTAAATATATAAATCAATATATCAATATAACTTATAGGTTAAAATATTAGGGATCAATCTTCTAGTTCAATTTTATGTTAAATATTTGGATATTATGTTTATGTCTTTATGATAGACAATGATTTTTATACATTAAATACTATGGTCTTTATGTTAAATATTTGATTGAAGTTATTAATTGTTACTTTAGGTAAATATTTGATCGCATAACTTGAATTATAACTCGAAATCAACCCAAATTATATAATTCGAATTCAACCTGAGTCTGCTTGAATTAAACTTGGGTAATCCCAGGGTGAGTATGTCGGGTTAGGGTTAGGGTTAGGTTTGAGAATTATATACCTACGGTTGAACTAGGGTTGATCCCTCAACCCACCTGAGTTGCACCCCTACTTTCCAACTAGACATCCTTCACAAAGTTCATTCGGATAGTTGGTAAAAGGCAATCTTTTCACCATCTTCTTTCTAGACAACAAAGTTAATCCTCCAAAATTCAAGTGTCCAAGTCTTTAAGTACCATTACCAAGAAGAATCTTTAACACACGGTTTCAAGTATTATTCCACATCACTTTGAATATTTAACAAAAATATTATATTTCTTGTCATCGACACTTTAGTAACCAAATTTCCATTTCCAACTCTTATTGAAAGATTATGATTTTTCATTCAAATATTATAACCTTTCTTTAAGAGTTGTCCAAGCTCAAAATATTATTTTTTATGTTCGGACCATAAAAAATATTAGAAATACCTTTGAGACGCCGGATGTAATACCCGTGATACAATTGATCCAATATCTTTGAGGATATTGATGATAGCAATGAGTGGTTGCTTGGGAGAATGGATGGAGAAACAAATGAAGATAATGAGCTCGTGTTTGGTGATAATATTGACTTAGGGTGAAATTGCTCGAGCTTCTAGAGTTGGGAAAAATAGCCAACGAACTAGATCAACACCATCTACTAGGATAACATCGAGGTTTACAAGATCGATAACTGGACTCATAGATGAGGAAGACATAGTTTCAGATGAGGTAGAGGAGGATTATACAAAGGGATATGAATATAAGGATAATGACGAAGATTTTCTTTAGTGATGATGATCAATTTTTAAGTCCTTGAGATTTGTGGAGCATTGGTTAAATGTTTAGTTCCTTGAATTGTGTATCTTGCATTTTTATTAGGATTTGAGATATTAGGATTTGAGATATTATTAATGTTTGTTTGAATTTAAATGTTTATAATTTTATTTGCATTTAAATATTTCGTATTTGTAAAATTAGAACTTAGATATTTAGAAGTAATTAAACTAAAATATTCACTTATTTTTTTTAACTGTTCGCTTCGCTTTGTTTCTCGTTTCTCTCCAAGGCTTTAGGAGCCTTAGTTATTTTGGTTCGCTTTACACAGTAAATAACACTGGCATGAACATAGAAATCCTTCTCCTCTCCTCCTAATGAACATGGTCATAGGCCTCCTATAAAATAGGGAATGGGCTGCAACCAAAATTTGAACTTGAATCTAATTACACTCAATATTAAGACCAACAAGAAAGTCATATACTTGTTCCTTCTCCACCACTAGCTAAAGTTTCCACATACAATCTATGTGGAAACTCTAGTAGTTAAGCTCCTGCCATAAGAGAGTCAACTCTGCATAATAAATTGCAAGGGTCCTAGCCTCATTGCCCCATTGAGAACATGTGTGGGACACAACAATCTAAAACCACAACTGATAGACAGTTGTATTAAGTTTAACAATCAAGACATAACCAAAACATTTTTAGATATCCATTGCCTCGAAGGGGTGCCTAACTCATTAGGCTTCGTATTCTCTGCTGTCAAATATCCATCCAATGCAATAGCATGGACTTATAATAAGCAAGCCCAATTAGTTGCTCTCATCCAATTTCTCTGGGCTAATTTGGATAGAAGGATTGTTTGCTAGAGCACTAAACGGCTCAACCCACTCCCTCTACTACTTCCTCCAACGGTAGTGGATGTCGCACTTATCTTCCGACGTGTTCATGCAGAAGAATCAATACCAAATAACTCGTAATCACAAGAAAATTAGCTCAAAACTTGGATCACAAGCATAAAAACCCCTGCAACAAGAGCTAAACAGCTCGTAATCAAGATTCTGAATAACAGTAACGGTCGCCATAACGGTAACGGTTACATTATAACAGACGTGGGATGTAACGAGCGTTACGTAACAGTAACAGAAACCGAAGTCGTGAATTTATATTTTTTATTCACAACTCGCCCTAAAAGTGAATTTATGTTTGTTTTAACTTCAAAATTGTTTAGATATATGTTTTTAGTGGTTTATAATTTATTTTATTGTGTCATTTAAGGTACTTTAGATAATAAACAAGTTTAACTTATATCATAGTTTAAACATGATATAATTTTATAATAATTTTAAGACAAGAAAAAAGAAAAAAAAATCTTTTAATCCACTGGATCAGCCTAAACCCACCTTCCTAGAGAACCGAAGTCCCAGCCTATACCTTTTTACAAAAGAACTCTTGAACAATAGAGAAACACGTGTATAGGTTTCTTCTCCAAATGTCCAACTATCACTCAAATTGGGGCAGGTGGCAGGCTCATCGTTTCACACCAAAATTCATATCTGTAGTGGTGTTTTGCACACAATACAACATATTGTTTTATTCATGTTTCTCCCTTTCTCGGTGTCTATACGCATTTTTCAGTCCTAATAAGCTACAGCCGATGAACTGAACCAAAAGGAAGAAGGAACTGTGGAGAAAACCATCTTCCTCGTCTGTAAACTCCATAAAATGCCAATGCACGGTGCCTATGGCAAAGAGACTTCGAAGTGCTGGCTGGAGAGATCTTTCCTGCCGAAGAAGAGCGTGTTACCGATATCTATTGATGAGTTGTCATCGATTTTGTGAGATTTTTTTAACCAAATTAATTGATTTGGTTGAAAATCGTGGCTGCTTGCAATTTTGGGATTTTTTTTTTTGCAGAATTGTTTGAAATTTTAAGAAAAATCAGGAAAAACATAAAAATTGACATGGGTCGACCGTTACAGCCCGATAACGGCAGTTACGGACCCATTACAACCGGCTAACGGCCGTTACATGCGTGACTTGTTTTCTGTCCGTTATATCGGCCTGTAACGGAAACACAGCTATTCGATTCTGTTACATAACGGCCGTTTTTCAAAACTATGCTCGTAATGCACCAACCAGATTCAAATCAGGAGCACAAAAGTCTGTAACAGCCAGAGACCAAAATAGTGGCTGAAAGGGCACAATAGTGACTAAACAAGACTGTCGGCATACAAAAACAAGTAAAAATTTTCACAAATCCAATCCGAATGAAACAAAATGATGTGGGTAGTACTCACATAGCCAAATCACACCTAATCGAGTAAATCAATACCAAAAAAGGCCTCCAGATAGACCAAAAAATCAGATCGCAACACCGGCGAAAAAACTAGAAAATTCTTCGAAAAATCAAACGACCCATCATATGATTTCAAAAAAATTCAGAAAAATAACCATAAGAATCAGCACCTAGAGTTAGTATGAGTTATATTGTGAGGTCGTTAGGGTTAGGAAACGAGAAGAAGAGAGGAAAAGGAGAGAATATGGAAGATAGTAGTGTCTTAGGGTTACACAGCTACTCTCAATATATTATAACCTCAAAGTATCAAAAATACCCTTAAGGGTTACATCCTATTTTCAATCGGGATACCTTTGAAGAGGTGGGTATTCTTATGAATAGAAGTCTAGCGAAGGTGAATCTATAAGATGCATCTGACCTATTGAGGTTCTGTTACTTCAATGACGAAGGTGTGAAGGATGTCTGTAGCTGTAATGTTTTGTTAACAGAATTAGTTAAGTGGGTGTAGCGAGCTAGGGTTCAATTTGTTTTCCATCGGATATGTAAAGACTCAAGGCAGGTTGCCCTTGATTGCCAAAAGCTATGCAATTAACCGAGACTATCACTTATGTTGAGGAACTTCCTAATGAATTTGTTTTGAAAAATATACAACATTATGGAGCAAACTTGCAAAAACAAATTGCCAGCAAAAAAAATGGTGATGGGAGCATTTGACTTATGTGCAAAACGAAATAAGGACAATCTTTTGCCTTCGAGCAATTCATACTGCTTGATTTAGTGTTATACTAAATAGATACGTGTATATCTCAACCAAATATCCTTAATTCAAGGGATGTACATATATAGATATAGACATAGATACGCATATGTTTTGTTTGAATCCTTTTGTTTAAGATGGCCATACAAGAATTCACATCTGCCTGTGTGGTGAAAATTGGCTCTGAGATAACATCATCCAACCTAGACTAGCATTTGGAAAAATATAACACATTTCAAAATTTTGGTTTTGTAGGTACCTTGATTTTCTTCAAAGGAACTAGAAAATTCTGACAGTTGAGCACACTTTGCATTTTCCAGTAGCTTAATTAGATTCTTATTTCCACCAATTCGTGCTTCATCAACTGGAGTGTTACCCCATCTGCAAACAACAAATCATCAATGGAGATAATGTAACACCCCAAATTCACATTCAAAAATTATTCATCAACCCATGAGAGCATACTAAAATAACCATAAAATAAATCAAACATTCATCATTCCATATCTAACTAATTAAAATCCCCAAAATCAAACAAAAAGAAATTATTAAGATTACATCCAATCCCAATCCAAATAAAATTTATCAACACTACGTGAAGAACATCCATAACATAAGTAAACTGTCAAATCTAAAATTCATAAACTAAAAGTCATTCTCAAACTTCCACATCTAGATCCACTTTATGATCCCCCTCAGCATCCTAATCTACTTACTCATCTAACTCTAAATTCTCTTCAATACTAAAATCTGAAAAATGCTATGGTAGAGTGAGCGATAAAGCTCAGTAGGAAAATCTTCTCAAACCTAAACAAGGTTTCGAAATCATAAAATAGGTATGTCTCCGTTTGGGAAATAAATATATAAAATTTGAAGTAAAACAATGACATTTAGTAACGATCTCAAATTTACAGAACAAAATAGAAAATTCATAACAGAATAGAATCATTCACAAAATCAAAGCTCAATACAAATTATCTCATGTATGTAAGTTGACTAGCATAAATCTATACACCAAACCTCTATCGTCGGTCCACCCACCACAAACATAAACCATCTCAAATCAATTCCCGGAGAGTCACAACACTTTGGAAAGGCGTGTACTGACGTATCAGTATTGACGTATCCTTTCTTAGGAATAGCATACTAATTCTTAGCCTTGAACTTACGTGAACAAATAGTGGTTTGACACCTTGCAAAGACCCAACCTCACTACGAGGGTTAGGCAACCACCAAACCCCTTAAGGTAGAAAAACATCTAACACTCTACGATACGAATTTGAGTATAATCCTCGTTTATCACACCCACCCATATAAGAGATAATAATAACAGTTTTTTCACAAAAATCCACGTATACCACAATCTATAGCTCCACAGTTCTCAAGTAAAAGAATAATTAAAATAAAACATGCATGAGATCGTAAAAAGAAGAATTTATGTTCACAATATTCAAGATTTTTGGATGTAAAATATGAATTTGGATGTAAATCATGTGTTTATTCAAGAGTTTAAGCATATATTAAAAAGAAATGTAAAAACGTTATAAATTTATCACATAAATATTATTAGGAATAAAGAACGAATAAAACTTGAAAGCAAATCATGTATTTTATTCCAAAAAAAAAGAATATTTGGATACAACCAACTTCAAAATATTGTAGATCTATTATATATATTATGATAGAGATGAAATGGATATAAATATATAGCCCTAATCTCAATGAATGAGTTTGAGAAAGAATCCCTTCCTTGATCCGCAGTTTAATCGATCCTAGTGTGTGTTGATTCATTTCTTAGCCGTTAATTCCTCACGATCTTGCCCCTTGTTCTTCTCTCACCCTCTCTTAGTTCCCAGGGTTGAAGACTATTGAAAAACCTAAAGAGCGTCCTTAGAGTATTTACGGGGTTAAAAATAGTTCATGCAGCACGAGTCTGATCGTTGTAAAACACACACCCACGTTTGAACATAACTAGTGTTCGAACATGCCACATTCAAACCTAAGTTGCGTTCAAACGTGCTCCACTCCCAGTATCTCATGTTCTATTTGTCAGGCCAGAACTTTTGGGGCTAAGTTCCGTTCGAACGTATATGGCGTTTGAACGTAACTCCAACTTTTCCCAAAACTTCCAAGACAATTTTGGCCTAGTTAGAAGTCGATTCACGAAATATTTATGTAATAAACTTTTGTAGCCTTTAAAGTATAGTTTCTAACGTCCAAAAATAACCTCAATCTGATGTCAGAATAAAAAGTTATGACTAAAATACTAAAGTAGTGTCTAATTTCTTTTTACTCAAATTCGCTCAAACGTGCCTCTAAATTTCGGAAACACTTCCAAACTTCTAACACATCCCATATCACCTATCCTTAATTCATTTTATATTAATGCAGTGCATGATAGTCTAATATAATTTTAAATAATTATAGGGGGCCTTACAGATAAAGCTTTCTGAATAACCTGCATACAAGGATAATTGTATGATAAGACTTTCAAAGCATTTTTATGGCACAGCTGGAAGCATAACTTCATTTAAACTTACGAGTGCTTTGCGGAGGAATTGGAAACAATTTCTGAATTTAAATTTAATTGTCTCGGCTTCTTCAACTACTCTTTCCACAAGCCCTATTTTGTAAGGGATGGAAAGTGCAATCGCCAAAGCTGGCTATTAGGAAAGCAAGGATTTCAATCTTGAAGTTGATAATTCAATGAAGTTTGGTAACTATACCACCACCAACAATTTCAACAAAGTGCCTAGATTTCATTCAGTCCAGAAGCCAAATGACCATAATGCATTTTGAAATCTCGTGTAGAACAATTCATTCATGGAAACGAGATAACGTATTACTGCCTAATTTTGCGAATTACTAAGGCAAAACAAAAATGTAACAAATGGTATCTTGTGAAAAGGAGCTCCAATACTCAATATTCAGAAGGTATGTAAATAATTAAGACTAACAATTCATTAAGGATTGGGACAGCTGGCACTCTAGCCTGTTGAAAAGAGGTCCTTTCTATTATGCTGGGACATTTTTCAAGTGCATGTTGATCGGACGATGAAGCCAAACTTCACCAAAATCTGAGCCATAAAAACAGTGATGTACATTGAACTTTATCTCTTGTTAAACAACAACAAAAAATTGCCTCATAGCTAGGGAAATAAACAATACAAAAATGGTGTGCACTTATTCTCTCAAGGCACAAGAACATTCATGGTAATGTTTAAAAATGTGTATGTATGCATGTAAACTTCCACTCTACAAAGAGTCAATGCACCATTTTCATTTCTTTCAAATATTTAAATTTCAAACTGTACCTGTCCTTTGAAAAGACACTAGCCCCCGCTTCTAAAAGTAAATTTGCTATCAAGTATAAACCTTCTGAGGCAGCTAAGTGAAGTGGTGTTCGAAGATCATAGTCTTTGGAGTTAGGATTAATCCCGTTGGCCAAAACCCTTCTTAAGAAATCTGAATCTCTCATTGCTACAGCCATACAGAGACATATTCCGGCATTATCCATTGTCAATGATGCCCCTACTTGAGCAAGCAAACAAGCAATGTGATCATGGCCATTCTTGATCGCCTCAAGCAATGGAGTGTTTCCAAACTTATCTACAAGAACAGGACACCCAGCAGTAACAAGTAAATTTGTAATCCACAGTAATTATTCAAATGAAAGAAAAATTGCACAGCTTATGATGGGGTGAATAACAACTGCCAATGTGAGAAGCTTACCTTTGATGTTGATTTCCACCTTTTTCTGGATTAGGAACTGAGTAATATCTTCATATCCCTTCGAGGCCGCAAGATGCTGAGGAAAACAAAGGTTTCAAGAAAGACAAAAAGATACTTTCATCAACAGCAAACAATAAAGCAAAGGCACAGTCATGAAAATCAGACACAAAAAACCTAGCCAACCTACTAGATTCTTCACATAAAACATTACACTAGCATGAAGGTATGACAAATCTCAAAAAATTACGGCACTCACAAGGACATGGTGAGGAGTAGGACATAAAAAGAAATGTTTCTCATATATCTATATAATAAAATAGGACTCATTTTGAATCCTCCAATTTGGCTAAGCATAAGAGTGGCTGAGATTCACTCAATCCAATGGCTCAAAATAATCATAAAAAAATCCTCCACCCCAAAAAATCTGCCCATACCTTTACACGCTAGTCAAGGCCAGATTCCCACCAAAGGTGAAATTTTCACCCACCCACCCCATACTTTTTCACTCTAACCAAGGCCCTAATGATGTGGTTTTATTGTAACCGATAGATTAATACCAATTTCCAATGTTTGATGGGGCAGACAGTTAATCCAATGACTATAGTAAATTAAGTTAACAAATTAGGTCAAAAATTAGATCCAAATAGCATTGCTCTTTTTTTTAAATGGTGGGATATTTTGAATTGTATAATTATAGAAAAAGAAAAAAAAATTATTATTTTATATATTTATACCACTTACCACACGACTAATGTTTGATTCATTTTTATTATCCAGTGCCTTTAGGCATGAGTTATTGCTAGTTAAATTATATTTTATAGAGTAAATCTTGTATTATGTAGCTTTAAAATGACATTTACTAGCATATTAAATATAATACTCCGTGATTGCTTATTCTTCCTAACAAAGCCACATTCACAATATGGAAAACATTAATAGCCTTTGACCTATGATATATATTCACTTCTCTCACTGAAAGAAATTCATAATCAAAAATCCAAAGTTTGCATATCAAATGCTAGTAAGTGTCCAAGAAGTGTTGGACATATGTTTGAGACATTTGTGTTGTTAATTGTGCCAAGAAGATTTTTTACTGACACATTCAAAAGCATCTAGGAAGTACCAATGTTATACACCTATCCAAAACAGCATTGCATTCCTCATAGATGTCCGTTGTAGGAAATTCCTCGAAATAGGAAGCCTCCTATATGTGTCACCATTGAATCCATAATGTTCCTAGATTTCAAGCCAAAACAAAGAGATGGTTCAACGTGGAACTGTAATTGCTACTCCCTACTTACCAGTAGTATATGGAGCAGTTGATTGTAAACGCGGTTCAATGCTATGAGCATAAGAAGCATGGACACAGACAAAGACATGAGACATGGGACACAACACAAACATGTGGATACGAAATTTTTCAAAAAAGTGGATACAAATTCGTTAGGGACACGATAAATATTATTTATGTATTTATTTATATATGTATGTGATCATACGATCAAATAAATATATTTTAAAGGTAATCATTTAATTCATCATTTTCTTAATTCTAACAATTCACATCATGATATCATTGGCTAAAAAAAATATCAACTATACCGATACACATTCATTACAAATATTCATGATTTTACAATCAATGAATATTAAAATTTTTGTTTTCAAAAATATCTCATTTCTTAACCTTAATTTTTTAATTCAATTTCGAAGAGCCCTAATTTAATAACCCTATTGTCATCAAATAACTTTCATATAAAAGCTTATTCTATTTGTATATAATTTCATAATCGTGTTCAAAATTATGTTTATATCGGTGTCTTATGTTCGTGTAGTGATTGTAACTTTTATACTATAACTTTGACCCTTGTGCCTTTAAAATCACAAAAATAACTTTCTTATTTAAAAAGTTATTGACAAGTTTTCAAAAATTTGAGGAAAAAAAAAAACTCAAAACATGTCCTCTTGTGCGTCAATCACGTCTCTCCAACGGGCCTAAGCATATGTCAATCGCGTATCCCCAACGCGACTAGAAAAAATAGAACAATAAAAAAATAGGACAGTCACTTTAGTGTCTGACACATTTGAACAAGTCCATGTACCAGATTTGTCTAATATCGACACTTTGGCCAAAATTAAGTGATTGTGCTTCCTAGATATGAGATATTTCCAAAACAATGAGAGGGAGAAAGAGAGAGAGAGACACACACACACACAAGGGCACAAACTCCTCTAGTATGTACTATTAGCACTGAAGAGAACTAAATTTCAAAATACCCCTTTATACAAATATTACTCTCAAGTTTCAACAACCTCCCAAATAACATTAATTTGTCAACATGGACTATTATCTATCATAGTTGTGCGTCTTCAAAAAAGGGTACTTCCCACCTACCTTAAGGTTAATTCATGTTATCCTAGGACTAGTTTATGTACCTATCAAAACTAAATAGGTAGATAAAATTGTGCTTCTTTGTGGTTATTTGCATGGGCCAGCCTGAAGGATTTGAAGGATAAACAAAAAATTTCAAGAAAAGTTTATGAGAACTAAAATAAGCCAAGAGGCACTTACAAAAAGCTTTCCTTCTACGTGATAAACATGGTTAGTGTGGAAGAAAAAGTGCCAATCGTCTTTTGTGGCGAAGAAAATTCTCCACCAGCTTCTTGATTTCTTTTTCCTTTTATGCTGATGAACTATAATTAGATTGATGAAAAAGATACTAAATGATATCTTCCTGCAGAAGGACCTAAGTTCCCTTAAGAGCAAATCTAAGTTATATACACACATTGAAGAGAAACACGCAAAGAAGTAGGTTGTAAAAAGCACAAATATAACAAGGGGATGCTCCGGCGTTTATGGCCTTAACAAAAAAGGAATCATTGCACCCCAACTAGCAGAAAGTGTTGAGCTTTTTGTAGATATGTGCATAGTTGTTAGTACCGTATGATACACAATACGTATCGTACAATACGAAGGTAAAACAGTACGGATCGTAGTTATGTATTTTTTTTTTGTCGTATCGTCCGATACACGATACATTTTTACGATACGATCGATACGTGCAAATTTCTGAAACGACGTCGTTTTGTCTAAATAAGACACTAATTGTTTTAATCCCGCCACTGATGAAACGACATCGTTTTGTCTAAATAAGACACTAATTTTTCTTTTTTTATAAAAAATTTTGAATCTTGATTAATTTTATGGATTGAGTTCAAAATGGATGTTAGAAATTTGGATTAAAAGTCTTTTTAGTGTTTGAAGTTTGAATTAGTGAACTATGGTTATAAACTTTGCATTATAAAATTAGTGAACTATGTTGATGTCTTGAATAGGTGGTGGAATATTAATGAATGCTATATTTTTATGATTGTATGATTTTTTTTCAAAGGTATATATATTTTTTTATTATTTATTTAAAATTGCATCGTATCTTATGATATACGATACGATACACTATTTTTAAAAAATGATACGCCTTCCGATACACGATTTGATAACTATGGATATGTGTAATTGTGTGCGTATACTTTAAATCATTACTAAAAGACAAAGAAATTTCCTTAATGACAATTTTTCTCACAAGACTTTGGGTAATTATAACAGTCACGCTGTAATTTCTTATTCTTCCTTCTTTGGATTTTTACTCTCTACCTTTTAAGGAGAGTTGGTGATAAGCAGTGGAAGGCCCTGTAAAGCAAACACAAGATTGGTTTTGTTTGACAACTACCATAAGGTGGATTAAAGTGAGAAAACAACATATTTTTTTCAGTATTGACAGCAGAATTGAATCTTGTGATGGAGTATGTACAGAGGAGAATATAACAGACCACTGCTAACTGAACAAAAGCCATCAGAGAATGGGCCTTGGATGGAAATGATGCTCTCAACACCCTCTCACATGTGGCCTCCAGTCACATGAGGAGGACACAAACTATCCCAGTGCATCTATATGCATGAACAGACCAGAATTGAGCACACCATACATATTAAAGCTAAGAAGCACGCACACGGATACAAGACACAAGTACGACACGGCATGGACACGCTGACAAGATATTTTTCAAAAAAGTATGGTACGGACACGTTGTGGGACACGTTAAATACTATGTATTTCTTTATTTATATTTTATATTTTATATATATATATGTGTGTGCAATCATGTGATAAAATAAATATATTTTGATGACAATCATTCAATTCATCGAATAAAAAATTTAATACCATATATACTGATTCACACTCATTATAAAAATTCATGATACAACAATCAATGACTACTAGAATTTTCATTTTCAAAAATAACCCAAATCATAACCCTAATTTTCATCAATTTCAAAAAGCCGCAATTTCATAACATGTTTTTCATCACATTGCTTCCGTAGAGAAAGTTTATTACTTTGTATATAAATTTGTAGTTGTTTTCGAAATTGTTATATCCATGTCGTATGTTCATATAGTGATTATTGCTCTTTCTCCCTTAGGTATTTGACCCATATTTCTTTAAAATACAAAATAAATTCGTTAATTATAAAGGTTTTAGACAACTTTTTAAAAATTTGAAAAAAAATCTCAAAACGTGTCCCTAGCGTGTCGGGCTGTGTCCCCAATATGTCCTAAAAAAAATTAATTATAAATAAATCAAACACTCATTTTAACGTGTCCGAAACCGACACTCTGACCAAAATAAAGAGTCCAGGCTTCCTAGAATTAAAGAAAGGGGAATCAAATGCAAATTGAAGGAATTAAAACCAGGATCTCATAAAACCAAAGCTCTAATACCATCTCAAATGGCCAATTACTCAAAAAAAAAAAAAAAAAAGCTTGAACTGTCAGATAATGGCACTTATATCATGCTCTCAATAACTAACATTATAAAATTTAGGATTATATTATATCTAAAGATTTCACATTTTAAAGCTCATACCATAGGTGATCTTCCATCATAATCTGTCTTATTGGGATCTGCTCCTGCTTCAACCAAATGCCTTAGTCGACACAGATCTCCATCATGAGCAGCATAGTTCAACCTCATAGCCAACTCGGATTCATGTTGCTGGATATGAATTATAAAGTCAGACTCTAATATCTTGTTCCGAAGATTCGATTCTTTTCCCTGGCCATTGCAAAATTAAAAACTATAAAATTAACTTGCTTCGGAAATATAAGATTCTCATATGCAAGATATTGTATTAGAGATCGTTTAGGATAACAGAGATCTTATTTCCACACAACACGGTTTATATACATTTTATTTGTGAGAGATTGCCCATTCAGTGACAAAAAGAAAAGAACAAAGACCAAAAAAAAAAAAAAAAAAGAACTTCTACAATTTGGAAATGGTAAGTTACCTCGAGAAGGTTATTTATAATTGTCTGGCCATCAAAGAAGTACATATCAAGGATGTCTGTGAAAGATTGCTTATCAAGCCATAATAGTTTTGAGAGTTCGCTAACTTGAACTGTGTAAGGTACTGGGCTGTTGCAAAGTAGAGAAATTTCACCAAATGAGCTGTAAGCTTGCAGATGCAGAAGAGATTGTTCTGTTTCATCATCTTCACTTCTTCCTACTTCAACCTGGATATACAATGGATCTGTTAACCTTTCATTTGAATGCATATGTGCATTGAACATAAAAATTTTATTTTGAAGTTGAACTACGGAAAATGCACTTCCTCAAAATACAGATATTATTAATATATATCTAATATGATGAGCAAAATATCAGTTAATTTGGTTAAATTTAGCTTGAGGTTTATCAAACAATGAAGGATTGTTTGTTCCTTGATAGCTACTTTAGTATTATGTGGGTTCTTAGGCTGCCTGGTGTAGCATTTTTACGTGGACTTGATTTGCAGATATATGCTGGTTTTTGTTTTGATTGATGATTTCCTGCTGCTTGACTAAAGCTCTCATTGTCTTGTTCTCTCTCCACCATTTAGGATTTGTGTACAGAGTTTCTCGTGTCTTTTTTCGGGGATATTCTGCACCTGATGCTTTTCTGTGAAGCCAGCTTATCCATATGTGTATTCGGTTTGCCTTGCTTGTCTGTACACCCTGGTGTTTGCCTATTGTATATACTGAATTAATTTAGGTTGAATCAACTATCAAGAAAATATGATTAAGAAATATCAAGGAAGAAGGAGGGAAAGAAGAAAGTAAATTACGGAGAAGCATAATTAATTAGAGTTCTCTCTCTCAGAATTTTATTTATACTAGCTAAAGTAAGAGTACTAAATCACCTTGTACGCTTGCACATAAAAATTAAAAAGTAATACAACTTATTAATACACGCCCTCAAACTGTGGCAAAGATATCACACGTGCCCAGCTTGCTTAAAGTGGTATGAAAAACGATGCTTCACATTCTTTGCAGCCTTGCAAAATGTAAGCTGATAACCTGCCTTCACGAAAGGTAAGCAAATTACCCTAGAATGCAAATTCTCCTCAACTGAGTCTTCTTTAGAGATTCCGTCTCAATCTACTCCCACTAATTTTTCTCAAGAGATAAGAAACAAAATCTTAGGTTTCTAATGGCTCAGCTTAATGCTTCCAATACTACCGCTCCCAATCATGCCTCTTCTTCCAACTTTGTTCATACTGGTATATTTGCTAGTGTGTTTATTGTGTCATTGACATATACTCCTTGGATAATAGATTCTGAAGTAACGGATCACATGACAAATTTTTCTAGTTTTTTCTTTTTCTACTCTACTTGTTCTGGTGGAGATAAAGTTAAGGTGGCAAATGGATCCTTATCCCCTATTTCCAAGAAAGTTTCAGTTAATTGCTCACCCTCTTTATCCTCTTCTTTGTTCTCCATATTCTAAATTTCTCTACTAATTTATTATAAGTTATTAGTATTACAAAATTCTTGAATTGTTCAGTGACCTTTTTTCCTATTCATTATATCTTTCCGGAACTTGAATTGAGAAAAATGATTGACAGTGGTAAAACACATGGTGGTCCATATCTCCTAGATGTTGAAGCTTCTCCTCAATCTACCTATCAAGCCCTCCTAGCGGATGGTGTTTTGGCCTTTTGCTGCTACATCAGTGACATAGACGTTTGAGGCATCCCTCATTTGGTATCTTAGAGCTTCTTTTTTTTTTTTCTAATTTAGTGAAATAGTGTAGTAGATAATTTTTTATTTGTGATGCTTCTAAATTTGTCAACCATAAACTTCCATCTTATCCTAGTACTAATAGTAGAAGCACGACTTCTTTTATCATTTTTTATTCTCAAGTGTGGGGGCCTTATGGCATCACGTCTATCTCTAGTTATCGTTAGTTTGTTACCTTTACCGATTGTTATTCTCATCTTACTTGGGTTTATCTACTACGCACTGAAGGTGAAGTTTCCTCTTGCTTTAAAACTTTTCATAAAATGGTGAGTACTAGTTTGATACAAAAAATCAAACTTCTTCAAAATAATAATGGAACTGAATATCTTAATGGGAAATTTCGTTCTTATCTCAATGAAAATGGCATTCTATATCAACTACTTGTGTGAGTACTCTTGAACAAAATAGTGTTATTGAGTGAAAAAAATTGTCATCTTTTTAAGGTTGCTCAGTCATTGATATTTACTTTGAATGTACCTCGGCCTTTTAGGGGAATGCAATTCTTACTACCACTTATCTTATTAATTGTTTACCTTCGATTGTCCTTCAGTTTCGATCACCTATTGAGTATCTTTTTGAGAATTCTTCCATTCTTTCTATTTTTTTTACTTTCCTCCTAATGTTTTTGGGTGCGTTTATATTATACATAATTACAGACCCTCTAGGGGGGAAACTTGACCTCAAAACTCTGAGATGTGTCTTTGTCAGTTATTCTGCCACCCAAGAGAGCTACGAATACTATCATCCAAAGTCTTAGAAAATGGATGTTAGCATGAATATTACCTTTAATGAATTTGAGTCATTCTTCTCTACTCCCCAAACACCCCTTCACAGCAAAAATACTATTATAGAGGAAGAGACGCTTTGTAGGAACCAAACCAAACCAACTCTTATGTCCCAATCAGTTGGGGTTGACTATAAGAATCCGTCTTCGTCATTCATTTCGATGGTGCACTGTACGCTTATTTAAGTTAAATATTTTCATATATTTTCTTATTATTTCGTTCAATATTAATTTAGATCTACCCCTACTTCTAGTACCATCAAGAGAAATTCCCACTTTTTCGAACCGTTTCATGTTCAGTGAAATGTTAGTAAGGTGGATCAACAGCCTATGGCGAAAAAAAAAGTAATATCAATGATCAACATGGCGTTCACCTTGACAAGGATAATTTGAAGACTTATTCTCGACATCAAAAAATATAGACTAATTGTGTGCAGCCGAATCAGTTGAATTCCCTAACCCCAATTCCATCCTCCACTAATTTATCAGGTAATGAACCTTCAGGTGTTACTTTTGTCATTGATAATCAAGTTGTTAATGACTAAACTTTTTGTTGTAGTCAAAAAGGGTATTCGAGCTTGTACGCAATATCTTATTGCTAAGTTTGCCTCTTATGATTATTTGTCTCCATCTTATTGTACTTTTGTTTCCCCTTCGTATTATGCATTTATTCCTTAGGGTTGGAAAAAGACCCTCACTGATCATAAGTGGAGAGAAATTATGGTGAAAAAAATGAAGCCTTGAAAAAAAATTACACATGAGAGTTGGTTCCTATTCCTCTTGGAGTTGTGCCAGTAGGGTGCAAATGGGTATTTACCATCAAACAACAAACTGATGGGACTGTTGAGAGGTACAAATCTAGGTGGAATTTAGTCTGGCATATGTTATTGATTATCAAGAGACTTTTGCTCTTGTGACAAAGATAAACTCTATATGTGCTCTTATCTCTTGTGCAGCTAAATTAGGGTGGAATTTATATCAATTAGACGTGAAGAATGCCTTTCTTCATCAAGATTTAGAGAAAATGGTGTGTAAGTCGAAGAAGTTTCTTTATGAGTTGAAGCAATCTCTTGGAACTTGGTTGATAGATTCCTTAAATCTATATTAAAATTTAGATATAAACAAAGTCATGTTAATCATATTATGTTCATCAAACAAGTTGATGAGAAGATTATGACATTTATTGTATACGTGGATGACATAGTGAAAACTATGTCAAAGACTTTGACCCATTAACAAGGATAAAAATTTCGTTTTGAAACGTTCGAAATGTTTCCGTTTCCAAGAATACCGAAACAAATCAATGATATAATCGAAATTCTAATATTTTGAGTTGTCTCGTAATGTTTCAAGATGTTTCAATCCATTTTCACAATTGTTTAGAAATGTTTCATGGTATTTTAAGATCCTTTGGTTTATTTCTACTAATATTTAAAAAAATAATTCTTAAATTTTTTATATTTTTTATTCTGTTTTCGAAATAGGTCAAAACGTTTTCGAAACACGTCAAAACGTTTCCATTTTTTAGATGACCGAAACAATACATAGAAACGATCTACTTCAGGTACTTCCTTGGGATTGATGTTGCAGTGAATGTTGTCAGTCAATGCATGTACGATCCTCGAACTCTTCATCTTGAAGTTATTTATTGCATTTTGAGGTATCTCAAGTCAGCTTCAAGAAAAGGGATATTGTTACTTGAAAGTTGAAACTAGAACCAATTAATAATGCAAACTAGGCAGCTTCAGTGGATGATGGACGATCTACTTCAGGCTAGTGCACCCTGATGGAAGAAAATCTTGTCACGTGATAAAACAAGAAGGAAGTAATGGTAGCTAAGTCTAGTGCAGAAGTCGAATACATAGCAATGACCCATGGAGTCTGTAAGCTTAAGCGGCTTCAAACATTACTAGGAGAGTTAGGAATTTATGATAATAAACCTATGAAACTATGACTAATATCAACATTGCTAAAAATCCAGTTCAATATGAAAGAACTAAACATGTTGAAATTGGTCAGCACTTCATTAAAGAGAAATTAAACAAGGGTTTGATTTGAATACTTTTTGTGAAATCAGAAGGCTTGTTAGCCAATATTTTCACAAAGGCACTAGTAGCATGATTTTTTGCTCTATTGTTTACAAGTTGGGCATGAGGGATATTTATGCACCAACTTGAAGGCAACTGTTATGTTATGTGTAATTTCTAACTCAAAGGTAATTTTTGTACTTTATGACTATATATAAAAGGTAGGTGTAGTTGTGTAACCTAATACACTACTATCTTCTCATTTTCTCTCATGTCTTCTCCAAACTCTAACAACTGCATAATCTAGCTGTAATCAAAGGGGAAAAAAACAGCCAATGCTGATTCAATTGCAAAAGTGGCTCAGATACCATGATAGTAGATCAAACTACGAAAAGAACAAAAGACATGAAGAAAGGGAGAGAAGAAATCCAAATCCTATGTCATATTCCATAAATGAAAAATAGGTCCAAGAGACAATATGTAGTAAACCCTACACTAATAAAAAGACTAAACTACCCCTAATGAAATATAGATATTATTACAATCTTAACACTGGTTAACTACTATGAGATGTCCAGACGACCAACTTTTTAATCATTGTCATTCCCTCTTCTCCTGCTGCTTCCACTAAATATACATACAAACACATAATTAGCCGAAAAGATGGACTTACTAATGGCAAAAGG